AAAAATAATTGAACACATTTCCGGATTATGCTGGTTTCAGTGTTAAATATCGAACTCCTACATTTGTCTCCCTTGTTGTACTCCATTTCCGGATAAGACGACAAGCACGTTCTCACTTCCATTTCAGAAAAAAATTGAGAAGTGAAAATATTCATTTTAAATCATCTAAACTTAATGATTCTTTCCAGTAAAAATGAATAAAGGCCATTGCAAACTTTGTAAAAAAAAAAAATAAGGTAAGATAAATAAATATTGCTGATTGGTTGATTCAACACATCTCATATCTAATCTGTGATTGGTTGATTCAACACATCTCATATCTAATCGGTGATTGGTTGACTCAACACATCTCAATTTTAATTGCTTACTGTTTGATCCAAGAAATATCATATCTAATTGCTGATTTATTGATTCAGCAAAACCCTTCTACCATCATTCCATGTTTACCAACATAATCCCATGTTTACCAACATAATCCCATGTTTACCACTATAATCCCATGTTTACCAAAATCCTCCCATGTTTACCAACATAATCCCATGTTTACCAACATAATACCATGTTTACCAACATAATCCCACGTCTACCAACATAATCCCATGTTTTCCAAAATCCTCCCATGTTTACCATCCTCCCATGTTAGTCTCCAGACCTGTCTTTGAGACCCGTCTTATAAACCAGTAACCGTTAACTGTCTGCACGTCGCTGATCGCAGTGTCTAACTCCCCCTTTTATTTGGTCATGGCGACGATGATGATTAAGTCCCTTGTTGCTGTTCGCACTTGGCCGATGATCACCCCGGCCGGCCGCAAAAAGGGGAGATCATGTTTGCTCGACGGTGCGCTATGCTGCCCCTTTCACACTGGGAATTCTTTGAACGCCTGGCAAGGGGAGGCAAGCTTACCTGGCCGGGGTTCGGTCCTCCCACGCCTGACGATCACTTGAAAGGCTGACCTATAGTGTCATGTCAAGGTCAAGGGCGTCCCCCACCCAACTAGTATGTGTCGTGGGTGGATACCTTTAGGGACTCTCTTAATGTCACGGAGGCGCCACGTCATAGGTTGGTGACCTCTCCATCCAAGATGATCTGAACCTTTTAAAGAAAAAAAATTAAAAAAAAATAATTTTGCACAAATTCATTCTCACACGGTTATCTGGAGTCCCTCTGCATGCTGCCCCTGTGTTATTCAGCGTTTGACGATGCATCCATCTGGGGTCCTGTTGAATCGAGATACGCAACCTTTGAATTATGCAACAGCTTTATTATAACCTCTGAGAATATGGAGTGGTTCTGACTTTTGGAGATTTTAAAATCCTCCATTGAATGAAATTTCACAAGAATTATGTATACTGCTTAATGACGTCACACAGACTGCTCTCGCAAGCGTGGATGACGGACGAATGGCGTCACACCGACAGCTCTCTACTGTAGAGAAGACCTGACACATTTGCGTCTATTGCCTCAAGCCTTCCCACCCCCAGTGCATGTTACCCTCACTGGGTAGCCCTTGCAGCCAGCGAAATATCCTCATCAACACCAGGCACAGAAACATTACAAATCCTATCTACATGCATAGGATCCAGAATGATCAATAAATTGATCGTGGGCCCTTAATATATAGAAGAAGAAGACCTACCAAACTGACCAATTAAGCCAATGTTTCAAAAACCTTTGACGTCATTTGGTCCATTTCTTATTTCTACATGCATCCACCCCCGCATTTTAAACACACACACACACACACACACACACTCACACCCGTCGCGTGATTCACCCTGACCAAAGAACCATTAAACAAGGGGGGGGGGGCGCAGCATGTTGAATACAAAAGCATTTCAACCTGACTCATAAAGTCAAATGACTTTACAATCGGAGACTTAGAATGTTTCCTCCTGTTCTGGCCAGTGAAATGTTGAATGAAAACAGGCAGACGTCTTACCTGCGGGGTGAATGGGGTCCTTCTGAGCAGACGATGCGTCACATCTTGGTGGAGCCAGGCGAATGGAATTAACATAAATTAGTTGGACGTAAAATTAGTTTAAGCTTTCTTGATTAGTTGAAACATAATTCTCATTATCTCCTAGTTTCTCTTTATGACGTCACGCCATCAGGTAAATGTATCGCGCATGCGTCAGCGAGTTCATCGCGTGAAACTTGGCACGAAGCACTAAGCACTAGACAATAGGCTAAAGGCACTAAGCACTAGATACTACGCACTTTGTCACTAGGCATGCAATTAAAACAAAATTATACCTGAAAATGATGAATGGCTTGTATTTAATTTCAGTACTAGATCATTTTTTTTTAGATCAGGCCTGCACAACATACGGCTCGCGGGCCACGTGCGCCCCGCCGGCATCCACTCTGCGGCCCGCGAAGTAACGCAATATTCTTTATTATTATTATTTTCTTAACATCTCCCCTCCCCAGTGTCGTATTTTCTTTCGGCCAGCACAAGTTTTTTGGAAACTTTCCGGCCCGCCTTAAATTTTGATATGTGCAGGTCTGTTCCTTTAGGAATCTTGTTTGTTATTCAATGCTCACTGTGGACAATACTAAGTTGACCGGGTCACGTGATGGTTGGTCCACAGTCCACCGCGGACAAACTCATTTAGTTTATCAGGGCTGTTCTTAACAATAGTCACTTGTATCTATCTAACATGACCCCTCTGCATACAACTACTGATGAGCTGATGGTTATTAGAGAGAGAGAGAGAGAGAGAGAGAGAGAGAGAGAGGAGGGGAGAGGGAGGGAGAGAGAGGGGAGGGAAGTGGGGAGAAAGAAAGAAAGACAGATAGGGCTATGCTTGAAATATCTTTACGCCAGAGTGTAAGCTGTGTAATACTTGTTAAATGTTATAAAACTGTGTAAGATATATAAGATCTGTTCATGTCATATAAAACTGAGTAAGTTATATAAGATCTGTTAATTTCATATTAAAACTGTGTAAGATATAGTTCTTTAAGCAACATAAATAAGATCTGTTAAAGTCATATAAAACTGTGTAAGATATATTAGATCTGTTAAAGTCATATAAAACTGTGTAAGATATATTAGATCTGTTAATGTCATATAAAACTGTGTAAGATATATTAGATCTGTTAATGTCATATAAAACTGTAAGATATATTAGATCTGTTAATGTCATATAAAACTGTAAGATATATAAGATCTGTTAATGTCATATAAAACTGTAAGTTATATAAGATCTGTTAATATCATATAAAACTGTGTAAGATATATAAGATCTGTTAATGTCATATAAAACTGTAAGTTATATAAGATCTGTTAAAGTCATATAAAACTGTGTAAGATATATTAGATCTGTTAATGTCATATAAAACTGTGTAAGATATATAAGATCTGTTAATATCATATAAAACTGTGTAAGATATAGTTCTTTAAGCAACATAAAGCTATCAAATAATATACGTGAAGAGTTCTTAAGTCATATAAAACTCTGTTAGATATATGAAGAGTGACATACCCACTGATTTATGGAGACGTAAACATAATTTAGTTTGTATTTCTTTATTCTTGTAGTCATTCCGTTAACACATGTTTTACAGCAGCGGTTCTCAACCTTCCTAATGCCGCGACCCTTTAATACAGTTCCTCACACTGTGGCGCCCCCCAATCATAAAATTACTTTCGTTGCTACTTCATAAATATGTGTTTTCCGATAGTCTTAGGCGACTCCTGTGTAAGGGCCAATAAGACCCCCTTAGGGGTAGTAACCTACAGGCTGTATTACTGTATCTTTTCTACAACTTTATCATTTCCGTTACTATCATTTCCATTGCTATCTTGCCCATTACCATCATTTCCATTACCATCATTTCCATTACTATCATTTCCATTACTATCATTTCCGTTGCTATCATCTCCATTGCTATCATTTCCATTGCTATCATTTCCATTGCTATCATTTCCATTGCTATCATTTCCATTGCTTTCATTTCCATCGCTATGATTTCCATCGCTATGATTTCCATCGCTATCATTTCCATTGCTATCATTCCAATTTCTATGTTTCCGGCTCATTACAACACACCCTTCCTAATCCTAAGATATGTCATTTTGTTTCGTGCCATTATTAATTAAAAATGAATTGTGCATGTGTAACTCGGTAACTTACTGTGCCTTAATTTAAAATAAATTGGCTCATGTGGTCTAAATAGGCTCATGTGGTATAAATTGGCTCCTTTGGTGAAAATTGGCTCCTGAGGTATAAATTAGCTCCTGTGGTAATTTTTTCCCGTTGAGAATTACGTTTCAAAATTAAAATATTTAATTTGTTAAAATGGTGGTAATGCATTTTAAAGTTTTTTAAGTTCAATAAATTTCTCCCTGTGAAAAGAGCGGACAAGAAAGATGATTAAAATTCAAATAAAAGAATACAATAATCAATAGTCTAGCACTGGTCCCTGGAGGTGTAGGAAGATAGCCACCGGTCCCTGTTGCAGTAGAAAGATATCCACCGGTACCTGTTGTAGTAGAAAGATATCCACCGGTCCCTGTTGCAGTAGAAGATATCCACCGTTCGCTGTTGCAGTAGGAAAATATCCACCGGTCCCTGTTGCAGTAGGTAAATATCCACCGGCCCCAGTTGCAGTAGGTAAATGTCCACCGGTCCTTGTTGCAGTAGGTAAATATCCACCGGTCCCTGTTGCAGTAGGTAAATATCCACCGGTCCCTGTTGCAGTAGGTAAATATCCAGCGGTCCCTGTTACAATAGGTAAATATCTAGCCGTCCCTGTTGCAGTAGGTAAATACCCAGCGGTCCCTGTTGCAGTATGAAAATATCCTCCGGTCCGTCAAACTTAAAATTGTGGGAACCACTGAACCTTCAATCCAAACAATACACGTTGTCTTAAATTGTTCGTATTCGATTATCGTAAATATTCATATATTCTAATTGGTTCTAATTGTTTCCTGTATTCCCCAGGTTCTATTGCGCATGACGCCGTGCCGGACGTCGGACGACCAAAATTAACCCTGAGGAACCTTCAGTTCAACACACATTTTCACCAACCGGAAGTCCCTTATCTGGACCTGGTGATGAAATCTGCACTCCTGCGCATGCGCGTTAATGTTCAGAAAAATTTACTCGATCATGACAAGAATGGTTCACCTAAGTCTGTCACAGTGAGTCTATATGTTAAAAGGATAGCAGACACAGACAATGCGCCAATACAAGACTCACATTCTGTTTTTGTTGGCTCGTTTCCTGTTCATCTCCAGACAAAATCTGTGGAGATTCCCTTGAACACCGGCCTCTTGTCCCACCTGTTGGACTTGAAAGACCAGCGAATCGTGTTCACTGTTGCCATTGGCAGCGGAGAGAAGGAAAGTGACAATGTTGTCGACGACATCAATGGTGAGAGAGACTTTACAAGTATCGAGTTAAGTCCCGGTTATAATCTCACAAGGCCGGCGGAAAGGCATACAGAATTCGGGCCCAGGATCGACGTGTCGCATGCGGTGCTGGAGGTGTCCACTGTGACGAAAGACCTGCGGAGATCTCGGGGGAAGAGGCAGACCAAGGAGGCGTCGTGTCAGGACAACCTGTGCTGCAGGAACAGCATCTACATCACGTTTAAAGAAATCGGCTGGGACGACTGGGTGCTGGCCCCCGACGGCTACACCGCTTACTTCTGCAAAGGCGACTGCCCGCACAGGTACAAGAGCGCCAGCACCTTCTCCGGCATCAAAGGACTGCTTCACCTGCGTAAACCCAGCGTGGTCCCGGGGCCGACCTGCGCCGCCTCCGGCTACACGTATCTCACCCTTCTGCACTACGATGAGGACGATGAACTGGTAAGCACGAACTACCCGGAGATGGTCGTCACGGGATGCCGGTGCTACTAGGCGGGGCTGGCACGGGTTGTCACTTCAGTTGTTGTCATTGGGGTTGTGAATGTAGCTGTTGCTGTTGCTCGAGGGCTGCTGTAATTCATCAGGTTTTGGCTGTTGACTACAACAGCTTGTTACACACATTTGTTACACCGTTACCTTCTTTCGTAAAGTTCTCAAGGCTCCGACAGGCATTATACTTAGTAAATTATTGACGTTGCTGCTGCTAAACAAGGACAATCTATTGGCGGTGGAGTCCCGACATTGGGGGCTCCAGTTGTCACATTGCAGGCTTACCATACGTCCAAATGTTTGGGGCTTGAATAGTCACATGACATGCTTACCAAACGTCCAAAGATTTTGGGCTGGAATTGTCACATGACATGCTTACCAAAAGTCCAAAGATTTTTCACTTTAGTTGTCAATTGACAGGGTTACCATGCGTCCGAATATTTGAGGCTTGAATCGTAACATGACATGCCTACCATACGTCCGAATTTTGGGGGCTTGAGTTATCACATGACAGACTTAACATGCGTCCATAAATTGGGAGCTTTAGTTGTTACATGGAGGGATAAAGTCCCATTTTGGGACTGGGACCATTTATGACGTGATATCTGTATTTTGGTTGTGGGAGAAGATCTAAGAATGATGGGAATGTCTATGAGCAATGCCGCGCATTGGGTTTCATATGTTCTATTTAAAGAAAAGATCTAGTTTGATTAGAATAACTTGGACTCACTGGAAGAGGTCATATGAAGCATAATTGTAGCATTGACCTGCAAGAGACGGCCACTAGTACAACAAAGTGTTGCGAAATACGGCCAAAATTTATTGCTGTGAGTGACGGCCACTAACATAACATTTGGTTGTGAGACAGCCACTAACACAGCATATTGTTACGAGATACGGCCACTAACACAACATATTGTTACGAGATACGGCCACTAACACAACATATTGTTACGAGAGACGTCCACTAACATAAAATACTGTTTCGAAATTCGTCTACTAACATAATATATTATTGCGAGAGACGGCCACTAACACAATATATTATTACGAGAGGTGGCCACTGACACAATATATTGTTACGAGAGGTGGCCACTGACACAATATATTGTTACGAGAGGCGGCCACTGACACAATATATTGTTACGAGAGACGGCCACTAACACAATATATTGTTACGAGAGGTGGCCACTGACACAATATATTGTTACGAGAGGTGGCCACTGACACAACATATTGTTACGAGAGGCGGCCACTGACACAATATATTGTTGCCAGATACAAAATGGAAATAAAGACCTTTCAATAAAGAATATTTTTTTTGTGTGTAAAACTATGCTATGGCTTTTCTTGATCAGCATATGAACACACACGTAAATAAACAACGAGTCTACGTGGTGATCAATAAACATGACCAGTGGTCAGTAAATATGACCTATCGTCAGTAAACATGACATGTGGTCAGTTAATATGACCTGTGGTCAGTAAACATCACATGTGGTCAGTAAACATGACCTGTGATCAGTAAACATGACGTTTGGTTATTATACAATGCATGTGGTCAGTGAAAATTAACCGAAATCAGGAAACATGACATGTGGTCAGTAAAGATGGCATGTGATCATTAACATGACCAGTGATCAGTAAGCTTGACCTGCGGTTAGTAAACATGGTGTTACGCACTGGCTTCTCTTGTGAGAAATTAATCTCTTGTTTTAACTTATGGCTCGTTCAAACAGTGCACAACAAAGGACGATACCGCAGAGAAATACCATAACAAAATTACGACACCCAAAACAGTTGCCAATTACAATTAATAAAATTTAATTTAGTAATAATACAATTACAAAACAAAAGAAATATAATTACAAATCATCAACTTACAGAGTACCGGAAAATCTTGTACCGGTACACAATAATTAGTAGAATGTGCCAATTAATAATGATGAATGATGAATGCGAATAAACACATATAAGCACACAAAGAATAATACAATTGTCTCGTAAAGATAATAATATCTATCTCCGTCTATCTCAATCTCCGTCTGAATCTCTCTCCCACTCACCGAAATCCTTTATCTATATTGTTGATCTACCGACGCGTCCAGAAACACCTTTACTTTTCTAATACAATCGCGAACATTCGACAAAACACCACTGAGAAAAAATTAATTATTTTTAGTTGCTGTCGGCAATAAACACGACAGATCAAAAGACTAAGCCACGCCCATCTATGAACGTAGTGTCTCATGTGGGGTCAACCAGAGTGCACGCACGAGGAAAGTGTCCTAAACACGCTCTACATAACACATAGCATGTGATCAGTAACATGACCTGTGATCAGTAAGCATGACCTGTGATCAGTAAGCATGACCAGTGATCAGTAACATGACCTGTGATCAATAAGCATGACCTGTGATGAGTGAAAAGATCAGATTACGAATCTGACAGCAACGAAGAACATTTTATATGAAGCTGGTCACCAAAAAACATGATTATGTTGATAGGACATGTTGTCATGATATTTCGTCATGGCATGTTGTCATACACTCATCAGCTTGATTCGCGTGAAATAATGTATATCTGAAAATTCCGAAATGTTACCGACCTGCTAAGATCGGTCCATCGTTTCATAAGGCTTGAAATTATACAACAATTCTTTTATTAAATACACCTATCAAAACTCATCTGTAAGTATCTTGAATTATCAACAAAATTTACCAAAGTAATCGGTCTTGGCTTGCAGTGACCACTCAAGATACGGTACATTTTCCAGGCAAGCTGGGTCTACATTGCCAGGATCAACGAGAAATTAAAAAGCAAGATAAATTAATGACCATCAATTAATGACCATCAATTTATTGACCATGTACAATTAATTTATTTCTCGAACCGTTGACGTGATATGTGTTATTTATATCTCGGGAAGTCTCCCTCATTCAATGATGTTCCCCCGCCCCCCTTTGATCATGTCATTACAATACATGTGTATATGTCGTTATAATATTGGTATAACTGTCATTAAAATATTGGTATGTTGTTAAAATATTGGTATAACTGTCATTAAAATATTGGTATGTTGTTAAAATATTGGTATTACTGTCATTAAAATATTGGTATGTTGTTAAAATATTGGTATAACTGTCATTAAATATTGGTATGTTGTTAAATATTGGTATAACTGTCATTAAAATATTGGTATGTTGTTAAAATTTTGGTATAACTGTCATTAAAATATTGGTATGTTGTTAAAATATTGGTATAACTGTCATTAAAATATTGGTATGTTGTTAAAATATTGGTCTAATTGTTGTTAAAATATTGGTATGTTGTTAAAATATTGGTATAAGCGTAGTTAAAATATTGGTATGTTTTTAAAATATTGGTATAAGTGTGGTTAAAAAAATGGTATGTTGGTAAAATATTGGTATAACTGACATTAAAATATTGGTATGTTGTTAAAATATTGGTATAAGTATGGTTAAAATAATGGAATGTTGGTAAAATATTGGTATAACTGACATTAAAATATTGGTATGTTGTTACAATATTGGTGTAAGTGTCGTTAAAATAATGGTATGTTGTTAAAATATTGGTATAAGTGTGGTTAAAATATTGGTATGTTGTTAAAATATTGGTATAAGTGTAGTTAAAATATTGGTATGTTGTTAAAATATTGGTATAAGTGTGGTTAAAAAAATGGTATGTTGGTAAAATATTGGTATAACTGACATTAAAATATTGGTATGTTGTTAAAATATTGGTATAAGTATTGTTAAAATAATGGAATGTTGGTAAAATATTGGTATAACTGACATTAAAATATTGGTATGTTGTTACAATATTGGTGTAAGTGTCGTTAAAATAATGGTATGTTGTTAAAATATTGGTATAAGTGTGGTTAAAATATTGGTATGTTGTTAAAATATTGGTATAAGTGTAGTTAAAATATTGGTATGTTGTTAAAATATTGGTATAAGTGTGGTTAAAAAAATGGTATGTTGGTAAAATATTGGTATAACTGACATTAAAATATTGGTATGTTGTTAAAATATTGGTATAAGTGTGGTTAAAATAATGGAATGTTGGTAAAATATTGGTATAACTGACAATAAAATATTAGTATGTTGTTAAAATATTGGTATAACCGGTGTTGCAAGGCCACTCATGTGAATGTCTATTTATCTGGAGATGCTTGACGTTAGTAAATTAGTAATGTTTTTAATTAGTTTTTTTTCCTCTTTGAACTGTTGATACGTTCCATCGAGGATGTTAACAGGCAAGAATGATTTGCATTTTTTTTATGCGTTCCATCGAGGGTTTTGTCAAAATGCAAGAATGTTTGGAATTGTTGATGCAAAATTTTTGTTATTAAATTGAATGTTTGTAAGCTGAAGACATTTTAGTTGTAAATGTTAAGTCAATAATTTTGGTGAGGTGTTTGTTCTGTCATAATTATTTAGAGCCAAGGTCTTTGAGAGTATGATTCAGGATTGTGGCGAAACTAAAGTGTAGTCATTAGGTGAAGGGTTTTAGTGACATATTAGGTTTTAGAATTGTGATGATTTTAGGTTGTTGTTTTTTCTGTTTCTTTTTTTAAGTTAGAATGTTGGAGAGATATATTGACTTTTCAGAATGTTGACTTTTCAGAATTAAAATATTAGTTTTGAAAAAAAAAAGGTAATATGTAAAGGTACCGTAGGGTGACCAAACGTCCCATAAAAACGGGATTAAAAACGGGATTGTCCCGTTTTTTCACGATCGTACCCGGTGTCCCGAAAAAGTCTCTCGGGACGCCTAAATGTCCAGTTTCTAAAACCAAACACATATTCTTATCATCAAAACTTCCTAATTTATAATATAAATTCAAGTAATATTTTAGCTAGCTGTGTAGCTTGTGTCAGTTATGATGTGGGCTCGCGTGATAGCTGCACTGTTCCCCCTACACCAGTCTGCCGACAAGATGAGAGTGGAGACCCTTTCTGCAATCCTGCAGGTTCTCTACAATTTCGAAATGGACTGTTCTAGTTTTGACAACTTTATATAAGATAAGAAGTAGGTTTTAACAATGGCTGTGACAACAGCCAAATATCCTCAATTTAAATCCTAGACCAGAGAAACTTATTGTCTTGTGTTGTATTATGTTGTAAAATATGTATAAATAAATAAGCATTCACTGCAAAATTATCGTTTTCGTTTATGATATGCCCCAGAGCTCAAATTCAATTACAAAAGTGAAGGTAAATTTAAAAAGATTTCTAGGTCTCAAAATAGTTCAAATGAGCATATTTCAATAAACAGTTTCCGGCCGAGGTCCCCGGCCCCCTCTTTAGCTGGAGGGTATCCCCCCAAACACCCCCCCCCCCTTGGATGTGTCCCACTTTTTTCCAGTTCATGATTTGGTCCCCCTAAGTTAATAGGAATCCTCGGCGGCGTTAACAACGGCTTGGCATTGGGGCAGTTGCCAAGGGCGCCGGCCTGCGCCAGTTCAAAAGGGCGCCGATAAATCTCTAATTTTTAAAAAAAAATTAAACAAAAGGGCGCCAAAAATAAATTAGCCAAGGACGTCAAAAAACCCAGTTACGCTCCTGGGAATCCTGGTGAAATATCATTTGAAAATGTG